TTCTTTTATGTTTTCGTTTAAAATTACAACACCGATTTAGTAAAAAATTTGAAATGCGACTCTAACTCTATAGCCTAAGTTTTTATTGACTGATGGTGGAACATCTTCACACTCTCGGACGGAATTTCATTTTCGTTAACTTCAGTGAGTAACTGTGTCCCTTCCATTGATCCCCAAATGACTTCTACACTGTCTTTACTGGTCTGATCTCCACTGATATATTTACCGTTGAGGGTTGAGTGACCAACCACCGCTGTTCCAAGGACTTGCACAGTTGACACCAGTCCTATATCAATGTACCGATCCTCTGTCATAAACTTCAATGTGTTATGATAATAAAGTAAATCTCCTGAATATCCTCCAACATTGAGTTGATATTTTGTGAAAGCGGATCCGAAAAAGAAAAAGAACTAAAAATAGGAAATTATTATTTTAACATCATATACAAAATGCCCTCAACGGCTCGACAAATCGGTTTTGCATCAACTATATGATGATACAGGCCACGAGAAATGCTCGTCCCAATCCGAAGGTGTCACTAAATACGTACTCTAAATAGGCGGCTGTATTGAGACAATCGATAATTTCCTAGTTTTTTCCTACTTACAGAACTTAGTCAATTCCATGTCATTAATAGTTCCATAAGCTATCACTATACTATTACTCAGAGTAGAAATTGAAATAAAAATGCTGGAGTCACATTTAACCCCTCAATCTTAAAAAGTATTCAGAATACCAAAATTTTTTTTTCGATATAAACTTTGTTGATTCACTATCTGGTCTGGAGTCTCCTTGAAACCGTCAAAAACGGGTTATGATGAAAACAATTGCGGATACTTGGCGTAGCGTTTTTCCCTCCCAATCTTCCAAATCATTTCTGAGTTCAGAGCACCGTCTGATGTTGATCAATGTAGTTTCTTCCATCCTAACGAACCTGAGAATATTGTAAATTATTTGTATTTTATTACGTGCCTCACGAATTCACTTTAGACAAGATTCGCAAGCGACTATATTTGGAAAAATAATTGCACTTCAGCATAGTTTACACCCAAGCTATTACACTTAGAGTAAATTTACATTCAATTCCAATTGTTTTTATTTCAGTTATCGTTTCAAAATATATATTATAAAATCCAGTTGCCAGAATTAACAGTTTTCTGGTGAAATGTTAATCATGTAACTTTATAAATGAAAAAGAACTAGAAATGATCGGTAAAAGTATGTGTCATCAAGATATCGTTATTTTATCAGTTTGTGCTATTCCATATTAACTACTCTGGAGCATCTCTATAAATTAGAAACCAAGGACGAACCGATAAATGACGTTGAAAATATTGTTTGCGCATAGCTTCTGGTATAATGATGGCCCTCACCAATACTAAACTATACTGTCTTGTCGGGCCGGTGGCTGCTATCAGACTTTCTTCTACAATATCTCCGATTCTGGTGTAGTTCACTTCGCTTGGTTACAAACCCCTGGATGACTTCTCGCGGACCGACGCTTTCAACGGGTCCACGTGGGTCGAGTATTCCAGGTAGTCGAGGTGGGCCCATTGGTTCAGCCAATATATCGTCGGTATCTTGAGACATATACGTTTGACAATAACGATTCATTTGCTCGGTAAGTACTGTCCCATAATTATCCAAAGCCGACGCGTTCTCCGTAAAAAGTATAAACAGGGTGATATATTTGAATATGGTTAGTTTCGATAATACTCGTATTAATCTGCAATGAATAAACAACACGTCAATCACATACACAGAAAACACAAATGGTACAGATACCAATCCGTTACAATTTTATTCTGCAATTTACAGAAACATTTATTCGAAAAAATCAAATTCGAATATTTCTACCCATTAATAGAGATGGAAAACGATGTCATTGTCCTCGACCCTTTTTATACAGCGCCCCCAAGCGTCCATTATTGCGACCAAAGGCAAGAACTAGAAATTTCAAGCTTTAAACATAAATCATGATTGAATTACAATAACTCAGAATAACAATGTAGTCCGAGTATATAATTTATCGGTTGCGGATAATAAGCCTTTTGTTTTTAATTAATTCATTTAACTCCACACGTGTCGAAAATTGACTTTTGTTCAATTTGGAGTCGAACACAAAATATTTTTACCAATGTGAAGTCGAGTTTTTTCAAAGCTAGCAGCTGAATTGAAACAATATCCGATACCACAGTCCAGAAATTGATACTCGAAGATCAGGTATGACACCGCTCACAGCCTTCCTATCATAAGTTTATTATTAAAAATAAAATATATTCGACAGTCAGATAATATTAATCGGTTTGGTTACACATGTTCCCTGGGATTGCCTTCTGTGGCAACGACCTTGATAATCGTACATTAAATTTTTTTAGGTTTTTCGCACGTTTAGGAGTGTTTAAGAGGTTTTGACGGATCTTGCATGTTAGTGTATTTTAGGTAGTTTTAGGCTTTTTTTGCACTTTTTAGCGTGTTTTTAATGAGCGGCCTTTGCACGTTTTGGCGTAATATTTGGTGGTTTTTGCTGATTTTGGCATCTTTTTGAGTGGCTTCGACGTTTATCTGCTTGTTTAGATTTTTTTTTGTAGTTTTAAGGCGTTTTACACATTTTGGCGTGTTAGGATGTTTTAGACGATTTTTGCACGTTTTAGCAGTCTGAACCCACCAAAAATGTGCAAAAACCGTGCTATAACGTGCAGAAACATTAAAAAGTTGTCTATATATTTCATAACGTGCAAAGAAGTCAAAAACGAATAAAAACCCTGCTAAAACCCTGCAAAATTCTTCAAAAACCCTTCTAACTCGTGCCAAAACCGTCAAAAACCCCCTGAAAATCTTGCTAAAACGTGTATAAACCTACCATTAAATTGTTTATTATTACGTCACAACCTCATTCTTTGGCGTGAGAATCGTTTTCTGCACTACAATGGCTGTTGTAAGTCTGGCTGCAAACACTCAGTTTACTATGGACGCTTCCCCGACCCTTGGCCCATGAAAGATTCCCCCTATACTTTATCATTGCGAAATTTTCATTGCTGATTTTGAGAGTGTTTTGAAGAGTTGGCACTTACGAACTGATTTTCATGATCAAAACTATCATTCTTATTAAAAAAAAAATAAATCCCGCGCCTCTTATATGAACTTATAGCTAATTTTAAGCTAGTCTATCGCAGCGTTTGCGGTATCAATTTTGATTATTGTAACTAAACTGAAGATGATTGAAACACATATTGACAATTAAGTTAATTGATTTACAACTATAACTAAAAAACGCTGAACTACCAAAAAGAGGTAATATTTACGACCACGCTTGAATATCTGTCTGACTCTGGGATACGTTTGAGAAAAAAAGACGGAACGCCATTTTGCAATTGATTATCATAATTAGGATCATGCCTAATAGGATGTATTTCGAACACGAATAGGTAGTATTTATACATAGCCCTTCACCCTGAGGCCTGAAGTACCATTTACCTATTTTTTGTATATATTGTGTATTCACAATGTGTACTTTAGTATGGTGGAAAAAATAAGTTACTGATTAAATTAATTATTTGTCGATTATAAGATTTTACGACGATTTCGAATTTAATCGATGAAAATCTTGCGCTGAGCGTGAATAAAACTGTAGCACGATTTAAGTAGAGTTTGTGAATCTATTTATTGAATAGGATACGACCAAAAAAATTCTGCAAAGAAGTACGCTAGTTACTTTACATATAAGAAACTGCTTCTACATGACCTTAGTTATCTATGCAAGGATTTATAACGTTTTACTCAATAATCGTTCAATCATGCTAAATAAAACTAATTACTCTCACAGCACGTGGTTTACACAACGGATGTTGCGTTGGAAAACACGTCAATGACAGTAGTATGATGAAACTTATAAAGGTTGAGATATAGCTTTTAAGATTTTCAGAATGCCTGAATCCGATTTTCTATAATCTCTCTTCCAGGTTGGCAACTAAAAAATATAGTGTAAAAACGATCAAAACATGAAATGCGTAAATCAGACTTGTTTGTTCAAACAGTGTAACCTGATATCATATGACCCCCACTGAATATTATAAAAAATAGCCAAGAAAAGTTGAAGCGCTGAAACTAAATCGACTTCATGCAAGTAGTAAGCGTCAAGCGTCAAAAAATAAAATATAGATTTCCATGATAACTCATCTCGCTGTTGTATGAAAGAATTTAAAGTCGCAGTATTTGGATATTGTGTTGTCATCGCCATATGGTAACCATAGAGATGGGATTAAAAATATTACAGTATGGGCCGACTTATACAAAACGAAGTCACATAAGTAAAAATGCGCCATTTCCCTACATTCTGGATATGTCAGATCAATTCATTAAACAATCATCGAAGTTCTGCTTTAAATATCAGAATGGCTTTGTCGCAGTGAACCTCAATTTTTTTTCTTTCCAGGCTCGTGTTTTGCACCGCTGCCGATACTTCGTTATGGACGTAGTTGAAAAAATCTATTACTGGACAACTTCACTCCATTGAGCTTTTTTTCAGAAGATGCGCTGAATTTAGTACGAGTACTGGGCGAGAAAGACTTCGAAGGTGCTTTTGTGATCATATGTTAGTTGGTTGTAAATATCTCAGGAAAATTAATATATATAGGTCGATCTCTTGCCAGTTATATAGCTAACTTTTTCATTTGACATAATTGTTTGTTTTTCAGATTCAGCTCTCTATCCCTGGCAATCCCAAACTGCAAGGAACTGTCAAGAATGAATGTAAATATACTAGAACTATTTTCGATTGCTGTCTACTTTGTGAAGCACACGCTGAAAACGTTGTCGGAATGTATAAAAAAAAATATAAAATTCAGGAATTCTCATGGGGAGCAAGTATAAAACCACTTCTTAGCAAATAACATGCATAGATTCGCTCTTAAAATGTAATATGACACGGAAGGCGAATCTGTCGAGAAGAAAGTACCCCTCTCATCTATTACATTTTTGTAATGAAATGCCTTTAATTATACTGTGCAAGCAGCTTTGTTTATTTTATCAGCTATTTATTACGTCGAGACCAACACAAATTCTTAGAAGGTCGTGACATAAACATTTTCCGATTCAAAATTCTTTATTTAATTTGCTATGTTCATTTCAATAGAAATGAGAAGAAATGATAATAATCGTTTTACTTGTCCTAAATATAAAGATTGAATTGGACATAATGACACAGCATCTTGTTAAAGATTTTTAGAGATTTTAAATATAATTTCAGTATATATATGAAAAGATTCATGGATCAGTTATGTCCCAGGGTGAGCTAGGTACATCATCTTTTGCCTTTACTGCGAATTCGCATATTCCGTAGTCACGATTATGATTAGAAGCTCTGTTGTATAAACCCTGTGGAGAGCTAACGTTTTGATTCATGTATATTTGAACATATGTATGAGATGGGTGGAATGTTGGGTTCTCGGGTCTCCATACTACGTCAAAAGTTGCTTCGGTTTCATTGGAAAATAGTAGCTTTCGTTCCTATAAAAATTAAAATATAAAACTATCATATGGAAATAATAATTTTATTCTCATGTTCATTATAAGTCTAGGAATATTCGAGTATTTCATGGTGAAACACGCAACAAATTATTTTGAATAATTTCAATTTCATTCATAAATCTCTCTCGATCACATGAGTCAATTGGAAATTATTGATATATTTTTCCACGCAATTTTGCTTCAATAAATCGGCCTCAACTTGACTTGTATTACAAAGTATCAGAGTTTTTCAATGTCTTATGCAGATATGTCATCCCGATTAACGGTATTTCATGTCAAGTACATTGGTCGCAGTATGAGTCGATTCAAATGCCCGGCTGCGCTGTTCACTGCAATCCTAAGGAACTTGAACACTGGGCATATATTAACTTCAGTGCAAATGTAAACTTATACAATAGATAACTTACTTGAACATTGTACTTCATTCCAAGCATAGCATAAATGTTTCGGTTTAATTTCTCTCGTAATGCTACCATCATTAAGGTATAGTGTTCTGTACTATATAAATTTGCAGCTGCTCCTCCCTCACTTTCACAAGCGGAGACATATTCAGCTACTGTGCGCAAGTTGTTCTTTCGTCCGTTAATAGAAAAGCATTTATCCCCGTAAATCATGAAACAATTGTCTAAAAATAGGTAAGAAAAACAATTCACCACATTCTTATTATCATTTAAACCTATTTTGATTAAGAAAGAGATGTATAAAGCAGCGAAGAAGAAATAAACACCCCTGTATGTCCGAATAAAAATTGCAATTCTACAAATCATAAAACTTTTTTATATTACATTGTAACTATGAAAATCGATATATATGTTGGTTCTGAAGTTTTTCCTGTAGTGTGTAGATCATAATTGTGTTTTGTGTTAGAAGGTAACGTCATCGGTATTGTTGTCATGTCACTCAATTACCTGATGGTTTAGGAGTCGTTGGGTTTGTCGTTGTCGCAGTTGTTGTTTCCGTAGTCGGTTCAATCTGATCCTTATCAACGCAACAACTTTTTAAGCTATCTAGATTATCTGTAATTAAATTTGTGTAAGGATTACCATCAGCCTGCAAGAATCAGCCATCAAACACTCTTGTAATCCTTTATTTTTAACATTTAAATGTTCCGTTATTATGCTTCATAAAATGTGAATAAATTTATTTTCTATTTTCATTTGTTAGGCAACTCTACATGTTTCACTTGAAAATTTACCTTGTAATATCTGCAGTTTTTCTTCCATGTATCTTTTGTAATCATCAAACTCCGATTTATCAACTTTGTCGCCATCACCAGGCTTCCCCATTTCACCAGGGGGCCCAGGGGGTCCTTGCTTTCCTGGTACACCCATTCTTCCCATTGGTCCTTGCGGTCCAAAGTTTCCAAAGGGGCCGCGGCTTCCCTTTGTTCCCTTTTGACCTAATAATCCACGATCTCCCTTATCTCCTTTCACTCCCTTCAATTCTTTTCCCTCGGCAACCCTGCACCCTATTTCACCAATTTCCGTATCTTCCATGGGTCCACAAACAAATGTGTAGTCGTCCTGCCCCAATGCTACGCCGAAAACGGCAAATACCAACCCGAAGTTAATGACTATATTCATTATAAGTTTTTTCCTGAACAATTAAATTACAAATAAACATGCAAACAGGTTATCATTTCATCAATTAGGCGCTGTGCGACAGAAAATTTAAAGACTTGAATTAATAATGGTATCAACTCATTTATTCTTAGACTTTCGTTTATGTCTTTGTGGACACACAGTTTGAACCATTTAGACTGAATTTAAAGACTTTGCCTATTATAAGAGGTAGTTTTAAACAATTAGAAAGTGAATAAACAACAGCCTGTAGCACTGTTCAAATGATGAAATTCTGACCGGAGTTCTGCATATATACGGCAAAATTAGCCAGCATAATAATCTCTTAAATAATATTACCATTATACGACCTAAGTATCAGCAGACTTGAATGAAACCGGCGTCATACACACCTAATCGAATTTATCCAATATAAGCATCTATGTCCCACGCTTTTCCGGATATATTGGTTTATTTTTTTTCCCCGTGGGTAAGGAGATAATATCTTATACTTGTTGTTCATTTTGCCTTAGGCAATCAATCTATAGAACTGTGATGATATCATACCGAATAAATAAGCTAAACTGTTGCCATGTCTGAGATTGAAACCTCACGGCGTGAATTGAATAACGTAACCATTATATATAGTATCTCATAGCCAAATATAATGTTTCATCAGTTACCTACGTTTGATCAAAATAACAAGAGAAACATGCGTTCGGTTCTGAACAAACCAATGAATAAGGAATATCGAATTGGCAAAATTGGTTACCAGGAATAAAAGAGCTTATGAAATCACAGGTAAATATGATTCAGTTCAAAGAAAAGTAATACACATAGAAATTACGTTTAGGTCATCAGTGCAAAACATAGAGAGTTGCAAACAGGGAGGCGCTCGGATCCATCTGTGTCATGCCGGTGATACTTCAGATACTGTTGATCTTGAGTGATTTGAACAATATAATATATTATAGCATTAACTAAACCTGCTTATTTTGTTTCAACCGGATTAAAAAAGTAAACTGAGACATTTTCTCCGAAAGATTTATTAAAATATAGTTTAAACATACATATTTAGATATATCAAGTTCTGTCGCCAAAAAATAAGCATTCAGGGCAGTTATCAAAAACCAACATGCTGGACCTACAAAGCGACAGAAAGTTGATGGAAAATTATTCAACAAATAAAGTCAAAGAAATGGCATGATTGTAATGAATATTAACTACCAAAATTTAAATTCTATTCAAAATTGGCTCTCTCGACTTCAAAATCAAGCTTGAACGAATACCATAATACGCTGGAACAAATTAGACCTAACAATATATTTATATACTTAGACTAAACAGTTGATGAAAATACTCGGGCTTCGTTTTATTTAATGCTATTGTAATTGTTTAAAATATCATAGAAAGGCATCTGTTATCGGATTCGTGAAAGTAAGTAAGTGATGAAATTTTGTACAAATGTGTACAAATTTTGAAGGGAATTGGAAAACTTACGGACGTAAATTTAATGCTTGAAGGCTTATGAAAAACTTACTTGTATATTTCATTACAAATTATTTGAACAATTTTCATATAATGAAATGAAGCATTGATATCTTATGTCGCATTCACACAATACCATATCGAAACCTGTTTTCTGTTTGTCATAACCAGTTCTACAGCCAGGTGTTTTCTATAATTCCATACCAAACGAGGCGATAACAATTTTGAAAATGAAATTTTCGCTTATGTAGTAATGAATCCCTTTATGTGGAATGAGCCATCCTCCAATTGACAAGCACTGCTTTAAAATTACATGTGAACAAGCATTTTTGCCAATCTCATACCCCATATGGCGTTGAAAATCCAAATAAATCGTAATCAATTTTGTATGTGCGATATAAAGCATTTAACGTGTCTGATGGTATTCCATTGTAATATTTCTCCACTTTTTTATGATCGGTGAATGAATCGTAAGATGGTGGAAAATATGTGTTTTTTATATTCAATTTTTTGACAATGAAATCCATATCTTCTTGCAAAGTGTCCAAATGAACGATAAAATTATATTTTAAGGCACATGGTGCGCACAGCCCTTCATAGAATTTCCAATGTGGATCGGAGATAGGTAGATGAATTGGATTAGTTAAATATTTTGCAAATTCAGCAAAGGTAACGTTTGTATCATAAGACGTTTCGTTGGTTTGTGTATTGTTTTCAACGCTGTAAGACCGATGAATGCGATTGCCCAACCTACTGTAGCCGTCAGATCTTGAGTTATTTTCTAATTTGTTTCGGAAGGCGGATAGAAGTCTACTGAAAGGCTCACGTACAATGACCAGTGAGGTGTAGGTTTTCATTCTTTTTGAAATCTGAAATATATTCTTCGCTTGTCGAGCCGAAAGTTTTCGGTGCGCTATTGTAGTCGCTCTTATTGAAGGTAACTTTACCGATTCTTCTTTCGTTAACAGTCCTTCGGCCATGGTAAGAAACTTTGCTTGATTAGTTGAAGCACATTTCGGAATTTCGCAAAGGAGAAGCTGAAAACATTTTAATAGGCTCAAAATACTTCATATCATATTTTGTTTAGGCCATGGCTATTTTACATGCCAAGTCGTATTTAGAGACTATTCAGATATAACCTTGGTAAAGTTTGTATATATATGTAGAATATCTCAAACGCTTTACCCAATATGTTGTTTTGAATGACGTGATTTTTCATTCAAATAATATTCACAGATTTTCACTTTATTCCGGGTATATTGGTCCACACAAAGGGAAAATTATTAAATCTTTGATTAACGTGAATATTCTGAAGCCATCTAAGATCAATTTACCTTATATTTATCCGAGAAAAACAAAGAAGCTTTTAATGATGGATGGTTGACGAATGCGACATCCATCGGAATTGATAGATTACGTTTATAATGAACGCATGACTTCAACATGTTTTTCCTTCGCGCTTCCAACCTTGCTTCTACTTTTTGATGGCTAGATTGATGAACTTTAAAAAAAGAATAATGTAAGAAGTTTCCCACATATTCCAATCGATTAAAATTCAAAAATGTTTCCTTCCCCATTCAAATAGCATTCAAATCTGTTCCTTACATCTTTTCCGTTTTATTTTTGTGGTTTTCAATGTTTTTGTTGAGATACAAGAGACGATAAATGCATTAAATCATCGAGGCTGGTGGAAAAAGCGACAAAATTGAACATGGAAAAGAAACTAATAATAACAGTGGCATTCTCCCTTTTTCGTGTACAGAATACATATATACAGTATTAGTATTATAAACACAATTTTTCGTACGTAGTAGCCTACTTACCAGTACTACTTCTTAATGTGTTAATTTTAACCTTTTTCCTTACTTCTCTCAGCAGCAGACGATCGTTCTCTTTCTGTTATAGGAAAAAAGTTCATCAATACTAATATACTTGAAGATTTCCAAGTTGAGTTAAACTATTGGTGGATGCTAGCATCATAATTAAAACTTGCTTTATAATTTATTACATATTGCTAATACAAAACTAAAGTCAAGCAGTCCTTGCACCCCAAGTTACTAAGTTCACAATGTATTTCTGCGCTCCAAAGCATTGCCGCTAAAATTTGTAGATTTTTGTCAATTATATCTGTTGATGGGGTCTATATGTTTCGATGTAGGTAGGCTACAATAATTCCTCAACTAATTTTCAGAAAAATACGTTTCATTGGAATTCACCGAAGCACTTAACCATTCGAAAAATACAACAGAAGAAAAACGTACCTGATAGTTTTTGGTTTTTTCCATTAAGCTCAAACCAGTGAAGTAAAATGACAGCAATACCAAAGAAATTAAAAACAAAAAACAATTTATTCGACGGAACATTCCAACCTACAAAACTTTATGCGTTTTGGATACCTGCGTCCGTAATTTACATGTTTTGAACTGCGTGGTGAATTCATGCCCTCAGGCAGCTTGACAATTTTTCTAATCATTAGGTGACGCGATTAGTTGAATAGACTGCTATTTCACAGTATCTTAACATCTTTACCTGTAATTAGACTGCTTGGGTTCACAGTTTCTTCCGCCTCAAGTCAATGCATCGGGAACAATAAACTGGTAAATAAACAATTCCTATATATATTTGTCCCCCGGGGTGGCAACCGGACAAGGAGCAGTGTGCCTCAACAGTGCTATTAACATTCACCTTCAACGCGGTAGGAGTAATATAATGACGGAAAAATGTTCTATCCCATCTTCTGTCTGAAGCACACGCCATTAGAAAATCTCCGTACAACACTATTATATAGGTATTTAACTAAGAACAAGCATATTTTATTTCGATAAGCATATTGTATTTTTTTGCACCGAAAGTTTATCTGGATATTATTACTTATCGATCTTGATCGGTAAGTATGTTGATAGGTATTTGTCTGTCTTGTATGTCTGTTTGTCTGTGTGTTACATGCACGCGATGTCTCACGAAAGCGAGGTTCGTTCAATCTGCTCCAAATTTTGCATGTGCATTCATTTTAGCTCGGATCAGAAGCCTATTGATTTTGGATGAATTATGTCGTATAATTAGCGAGTTATTAATTAATTAGTGATGGGACACACGGTGTCACTATGGAGTAAGACCACTGTTTTGGGGGATCCCCTAACCTTCGATCGATAAGTATTCGGTTTCCAACCGGATTCTAGTTTAAGTCTTGTCAATGTTAATGAAAATTAGGATGGTTCAATCCAGAACTGACGAACTGTCAGAGCCCGCCAGTATTCATCATGAATTGCCATTTTTGCAAGACTTTCATCAAACAGAACACTTCCCTGAACGGTTATTCACACATATTTTTGCTTGCTTATAACTGATCATTAAAGATATTGGGTGAATTAAATAAATTTTTCTAAAATGTCCAAAAAGTAGTTGTACGTTCAGCAAAAGTCAGGCGACCCCGAAAATCTTCAAACGACCCAACCCGGGGTCGCGACCCATAGTTTGGGAACCACTGGTCTAACAAAAGTCAAAACAAATGTAAAAGAATAAGGCATATAAAGGATAAAAGGCAAGGATTCACATATTATCCCGGGGGAGAGGAAATCCGATAAGACGGCATAACTATATGGCGAACCACGACCTCTCGTCCGGTTACCAGTCCAGGTCGGGTATGGTATTAGTTAGACAGTTATTTGTTTTCGGAAGCATGGACTTGATGGTGGAGGAAACCGTAACCACCCTACGGCGGCGAGGAGTCCAGCAATCCTGTCGTACATGATCATCCTTGCATGGGATTCGAACCTACGAACCCACGGTAATCAGAGATGCGGTGGCGAGCATATTCCTAACGCTTTTATTAGTGTACAGTACAATACTTTCCAATACAGTACGATGTGTATATAGAGTAATTTATGCACTGTACCACTGTACAGTATAATGTTCCGACTTACATTGAAATTCGGGTTACACCGAGTCTCAGGAACGGAACTGCGTCGTAAGTCGAGGACTCCCTGTATATTATTCTAAATATATTGGCTATACCCAATGTACAGCAGTCAGTCGCGACCTAACTAATGGACTAATTGCTTCAAAATTTTTTGTGATCAAAGATTGTTGTTGTTGCAAGAAGGCTAATACTTTTATTCATTTCTAAATTTTCTATGAATCCTATGAGATCTGATATTTCATCCAAAATTTGCTGTATTATTTTTATTCGTGGAAACACGGTTTCTATTCCGCCAAGCGTAATGTCCGCCTTCTGTTCCGACTTTGCGAACTCCTTGCTACGCGAAATTCGGAGGTTATTTGATGGCGGTACGGTAATCTACTTCGTTTTGGCCTACGTGTCCATATATTAAGCATTTCTAATGTTTTTAATGTTGTTGACGTGAAAAGCGATTTTTTTCACAAGAAGAAGAGAAGACATACTTAAAATACTAACAAGATAATCGAAAACAACATAATAACACAATACAGAGATGCTCACAGATATTTTTGAAAAGAATAAAAGTAGTCTAATAGCTTTCTAGGAAAAAATACAATCTTCAACCACTGACAATTTGAACTTCCAGTAGTTTATGAGAAAAGTGTTTCTATGCTTTTGTACCCTTGGAAACATGCATATAACGCAAAGATGCTGTAGCAAGAGTGAAGATAACTATCCCAAGTGATCCTAGAGTCTTGCCGCACGTTGTAACGTTTCGTCTGACCAAGGTAAGACTTCCTCAGACATACATAGTTTAAATACAACAAGAAAGCAGTTCACTTAGGAATGAAAATAGTAACATGAAAATGAACATGAACAACATAGTAACAAAACGATCCATATGTACGTCCAAAAACGATACATATGGACAATTCGTGACCAACAAGAGAACGATGGTGTTTATTTCAAGTCTGAAAGATTTTGATTACTCAACGCCATTGTAGGCAAGAAACCAATAAAATGCAAAGTAGCATATAGTTCTCGTATAGCCTCCAAAACAGTCTTTAGATGCACTTTCGGAAGAGACAAGACGTTGCGAGAAATAATCAGATCAATCGCATTGTTATGTCATAAACGATGTCAGAGTCAATAGCTGAATCACAGTAAACAGTTGTGCAAACAAGATTAGGGGTTATGAAAATTACCATACCGGTTCGAAAATTAACAATTTGCATATGAGCGATCGCAGCTCTGACTGCCCAACTGACGGTGCATTATAATAGTTAATGTTAGATTAAATTAAGGCCGGTTTTATTACTGATATGTTAGCACTTTTTTATTTTTATTTTATCCTCACCTTGGCCGGTCACGAATAAAACGCGGTGGGTCACTGTGTCAACTTAAAAGGCATAAAGTACGCAAAATTGAGTTTTATCCAAAGGCACCTTTTTTTTCGTGTGAGTGCGCCGTGAGTTTTTTCCTTGATAATTTGACGCCGCAGGAACAAAAAGTTTGAAAACCGCTGCTTTGTAATTGTAAAGAAATTGCTCAGGTAGTTAATTAGAGAAGCAATTTTTTTTCAATGCTCAGATTTATGGACACGAATTTTTTTTAACGAAAATTCCCCTGAATCCTATCCTAAAAAAGCTTGAAGCTTGTAGTTAATAAGAGAAGCAATTTTTCTCAATGCTCGGATTTATGGACGCGATATTTTTTTGACGACAATTCCTCTGAATCTTATCTTGAAAAAAGCTTGAACTGTGTACAGTTACGTTACTTACCAGTATCTTTACCTAGGAATTTGTCCAAAAAGATTTGTTTTAAAACAATTGTTTTAAATCATGTTTTTTTGCCTGGTTTGTTCAAAATGGCGGTTGTACTTTTTTTTGTATTAAATATGTTAAAACAAGAAAAATTTAAGCGAAACTCCCCTTATCGATTCTTCTGCAATAAACTGTTCGAAACGCCGCAAAACTCACTGCAGGAGGGCAGGAGTATTGCGACAAAAAACTTGTAGGAATAGTGGATCGCATGATTGGTCATTCATACGTGGTCTATTTGTGTTTACATTGTTACGGTATTTTAGTATTTCTGATGCTAAATTTGATTGCCCCAAGAGTCTAAGTACCGGTACGGTACTAACACACTGAATACAGGTATAGAACCGGTATTTAGGTATTCGTTGCTATGTAGGAATAACTTGCGTTAAGAACACGCTCGCTGTGGCACCCCCGATTCATACCAAAACAGAACCACTGTGGTGTTAACTCGGTGCCGTAATCTGGTGCAACTCTAACTCTGTAGGTTAACCCTCTACTTCTAGCTAGGCTATGTCTATAATTTACAGTACCCTGTTACCGGTAAGTAAGTGTACGTACGTAGGAAATTCTATGGGTCAAAGAATTTGTACTGGTATAGTCCATCCATCTGTTTTACCCCACCCTATATCTAGCTATTGAGTGTTTTACGAATTGTTTATTTTGCAATATTTCATTTTTCTGTTCAATATGGTATTGTTTTATGGGGTTCAGCACCAAAAATTATGCGATGTAGCGCACGATACACCAAATTTATGTTAACCTTCGGTTGATTTATTTTCTTTTACTGTATGGACCTTTCCCCGAGCATCGACTTCCTTGTTTACTTCGTGACCTTGGCCAATCAGCAAGATGCAAAAAGTGAAGTAGCAATGCTCCCTTTTCGCATCCGCTCTGAAACTTTTCTCACTCAGACAGATTTTAAAGCGTGGTCGTAAACATTACCTCGTTTTCTTTACCGGTACTTTTAAAAAACAGATTGTTGTATGCGATGAATCATAATGATGGTTTGAAACACATACCCCATTTTACACGCAAAAGCACTGTTAAAATAGCTCCGAAAATTTTGCAATGGTAAAGTATAGGAGAAATTTTTGGGGTTCAAAGGTCGGGGAAATGTCCATTACTGCTTAATGTATAAATTTGCTTCCAGCCCTCAGTCACCATGCCACAGTAGAGTACCACGAGTGTAGATTTAAAATCCTTTTCGGAACCTTAATCCAATAATATTGTTTGGTTATGTCTTCCGAATGAGGCACTGCCCGAAAAAACAATGACCTGTACCGCAACTGGCAAGCAAGTTAGCCTTTCGTTTGTTATCTAATAAAAGGAAATTGACATGGTCTGGAGTCGTTTGGATCCATTGCTATGGACGAGACTCAGATATCCGGTCACCTGATTGTATTTTATTTCCGGCTTTCCTCAGTATTTAATGTTAGACTTTTTTTCCTCAGTATAATTTATTGTTAGACTTCCCCATAGGACATAGGTGAATCTGCTCGATAACCGTTACTGGTTTATCGCGTCTCTCTTCTCACTGAAATGCAATTCTACTGACTGGTACAGATTTTCTGCTCTACCGTGTTTCCCCGAAAATAAGACAGTGTCTTTTCTTTTGAAAAATAACATTCGGGATTATCATGTTTTATATTTTCATTTAGAGCATTACGAGATTTCAAATATACAAAATATGGAAACCGATATT